GTGATTAAGTGAATAGCTCAACATGAAATGCTGTATATGCACTTTAGAAGGCTCACATCACACCTTAGCACATATGTGCGTGCACACACACACACACATCTCATAAACTTCATTGTCTTGAACTGGGTAGATATGTATAGAGGCATGACCTTGGTATGTTAGTTTCCAAACACAGGTTTGCTTGAAAAAAGGTCTGATGAAGCCAGTTACAACTAAAGTATAACAGTAGAAATTACTCTTGTAATAACAAACAATGCAGTGTCATAGAAATAATTTTTATTAATAACAACCTGACGATACATGCATTCAAAATTTTATGAAGTCTTCTGATGAAGACTCAAGCACAAAGAAAAAGTCACTGTAATCTCACTGCCCCCAGTAAAGCTCTTTTTACCTTCTCAATGCTCCTTCCCAGCCTTATTTTGATGCATGGATATTCCAAACCCAAATATATTGCCTACTTTGAAATATAATTTGTTGATGTAGTGGCAGTACTACATAGCAGTACTAAAGGCCTATGGATCCCATTATCTCCACTTGCAGCCCCCAATTCTTTCCTATGAGCAGTTGACCAGTTTTAGGTTAAGGGCTATGGAAAACTATCACAGTTCATATTGTATTTTCCAACCAGATCATCACCTTATAGTCCATTATATTAAAATTCTGTAGTGCCACTGAGTATGTGAAATTATCTGTTTTGCTTTTATTTAACCTTCTAATAGATAGTTTAACTGACATGTTTCATTCCAATGTTTGAATGTACCATATGTATACCAGACCCCACTCCTCTGTGGCTATATATATATATATATGTATATGGATATGTATACATATATATACATATGTGTGTGTGTGTGTATATATATATATATATATATATATATATATAAATTGTTTCTCTTTCTTTTTTCTAGTATTTGTCAAATTTGTTGGTTATTACTAGAGTCAGAAGTAGGAGAATTTGGTTATTAGAAGAAATAGTGTTTTGTCTGATTTACCAAACATCCTTTTCTTCTAAAAAGTTATTTCTAATAACTTCAGTGAAGATGTTAAGAGTTAAAAGTGATGTGGAATTATGAACTGACTAGTATTAGGAGTATATGGAAAATATGTTATTTTTCTTACCTACAAGAGCACATATATCCTTTTAACTTTTTTAAAATTTAAATAATTTCACACAACTAATAACATAAGCATGAATTTCAATAGCTACCATTTTAAAACTGCATTTCCGGATCCTTTCTTTTCCAAAGTGACCAACAAATTTAGATTTGAAATTTGTATTTTCACTGTTTCAAAACATCACTGTATATTGTCCTTATACCTTTGGAAGATGCAGACATAACTACCTCACCATTCTTATAATTATGGTTCCAGAAACTGTCAGTCCAGCAAAGTTATTATTCCATGACTGCCAACAGACCTCTTGGGCACTTCCTTGAGACCACCAGTGCCTTGGCATCTCTAGTTCTTCAAGACCATCTACCTTCTCGTTAACCCAAGTTCTTTCCCTACCAATCCTGGATCCCATGATGGGCTTAGAAGTAGAACTGTGAGGTCAAAACTGTTAAAAAATTAATAGATTTTCTTCCATCTGGATCAACAAGGTGAACTCTAGCAAATTTAAGTAAAAAGCACTTTAATAAAGTAAATTATGTGCTCATGACCCTTGCTAGTTGCCAGCTAGTCAGCTCTGCCACATGAAGACCTTGTGTGTGACAGAACAAAACACTGCCCAGTCCTGCATCATTTCCATGAACATCGTATATTTCAGTCCATTGTTGGGCTATTGTGTCAGCCCATCTCATAGAGGGTTTCCCTCATTTTTGCTGACATACAAAGCAGAAGTTAGTAAAACTCCACCTAGATCCAACACTGCAGAACTGGCCCTTTGGCAGCTAGGGGATAAGAAAGCTTTCGTTTTGGCTGTGGGATTGTCACAACTCAACTGCAATCCAGGTATCAGAAAGCTGCCAACGTGGCACCAGAGCCATGCTGCAGCTCAGCTGCTGGGTTCACACCAGCACCGTGAACATCTCACATTCTGCCATATCTCTCCTCCAGCTCCTTGTTGTTTTTATTTGCCATCAAACTGATTCTGACTCATGACAACCCCATGTGTATGGTGTAGAACTGCTCCACAAGGTTTTCAAGGCTGGGACCTTTTGGAAGTAGATTGGCAGACCTATCTCCTGAGGCACCTCTGGGTTGGTTTGAACTACCAAGCAAACACTTAACTGTTTGCAACATTAGCAAAATCTAAATCGCATCTGAATCTCTAACCACAGGGGAGTTTTTTTCATTTTCAATATAGTTTTCACTTTCTAGCTCTCCAGGAAGGAGCTCTGGTAGTGTAGTGCCTAAGGCACTTGACTGCTAACTCCTCAGAAGGAAGATGGGGCAATCTACTTCTGTAGTGATGTTGCCTCGGAAACCCAAGGAGGGGTCGCTATGAGTCGGGTCCGACTCGATGGCACATAACAACAACAACACAGCCCTCCAGGAAGGGACACTAGGGGGGTAAAAAAAAAGTAGAATATATGCTGAGCAAACCAATTAGAACCTTCTCAAATATATTTCCCCTAGATCATTTTCCCCAGACACCTTCCTCCAACTCTTGCCTCTTTATTCCCATAAAGAGTTGTCTGTCTGTCTTCACTCTCTCCACTTGCTAACCACCCATTCATTCTTCAACCTGCAAACTGTGATTCCATCCTTCTCATGTCACCTGTATTACATGATATTTTCAATCTCCTTGCTTTGCTTTTTACCCCCTCCACCTTCTACTCTTTTTTCCCCTCCCCTTTTCCAAGCTCTGCATTCAGCACCTTATTCCTTCCTCCTACTTCGTAGGCTCTACCTGGGTGATCTGTCCATTTGTCTGTCATCATCTACTATATGCTGAGAGTCCACAAAACCATGACTCTAGGTGTGTGATCTTTGCCAAGGGACAGACCTAGGTTTCCAAACGCTCCTGAACATGTTCACCTGAATATCACAAGCACCCTAACTCAGCATACCCAATATTAAGTTCATCAAAAACCAAAATAAACCAAATCCACTGCCATTGAGTGGATTCCGACCCATAGCCATCCCTATTGGGTTTCCAAGGCAGTAAATCTTTAAGGAAATAGATTGTCTCATCTTCCTTCTGCAGACTGGATAGATGGCTTGAACCACCAACCTTCTGGCCAGCAGTCAAATACCTTAGGCACTGCACCAACAGAGCTTCTTATTAAGGTCATCTTCCAATTTTTTTTCTTCCCATTTCATTCTACAACTGTGTAAACTGCAAAACTGTTTACCCACTTATCCAACCTAAAACCCTGAAAGTCAATTTGATTCTTCTCTTTCCTTTTCTGTTCCTACATTCAAACTGTCTCTCATTGTGGTTCTTGTTGTTGGATACTGTGGAATCAATTCCAACTCATAGTGGCCCCATGTGACAGAGTAGAACTGTGCCATAGGGTTTCCTAGGCTGTAATATTTATGGGAGAAGCTCTGGTAGCATAGTGCTAAGTCACTAGACTGCTAACCAGAAGGCTGGCAGTTCAAACCCACCAGCCACTCCTTGGAAGGAATGTTGGGCAATCTACTTCTGTAGTGATACTGCCTCAGAAACCCAAGAAGGGGTCACTGTGAGAGTCGGGGCCAACTCGACAGCATATAACAACAATATTTATGGGAGCAGATGCCAGGTCTTTTCTCCCACAGAGCAGCTGGTTGGTTCAAGCCACCAACCTTTGGATTAGCACCCCAGCACTTAACCATTGCACCGCCAAGACTCCTCAGATAAATTCAATGGAATCCTTTGACTGAAGTTCCTGAATTTAATAGGAACTCTTTAAAGAAAGACCTCAGACATGCTCATTCTAGTACTTTATTGGAAATTGGTTGTGTACATCAATGAAATCAGAGCAGAGTAAAAGCATTGTCTCCACACAATATCTTTACATCTGTGCTATCTTCTTACATAATTTAATAAATCCCAGAATGTTCTTGATTTTGCTATCAAAGAACTTGACTGGTCCAGACATTTCTCCACATAAATACACTTGCCATAGCATCTAAAATAACCATCATTGTTTTGAGCTGGCTCTAAAGTCCTGGGAACATCTCTTGAAGTGTGTATCTTGCATTGGTGGCAGTGTGAGTGGGAGGGAGTGAAGGGCGGACACCTTATACAATTGAGCCAATTAGAGCAGAAGCTGAGAAAGAGGGGACAGAATTTCCCTAGTGTGGGAAACACAAAGAGATGAGGACTAGAGATCCCAAAAGCTGGGCCGGGATCTCAATCCCTTGCATTTTCCAATAATGCTTGATCATCAAAGGTGGCAGAGAGGTGAGACTCCAGTGCAGAAAGAAGGCATGTCAGCCCATCACCTCAGCTCCTCCAGACTGTATAAAGGCAGAGATTCTGGCACAGAGAAGGGCCTGGGGAGTTCCACCCATCTCTCAACCCTCTCACCCTGCCATGTTCAATTCCCTGCCATATGAGAACACTAGAGGGACTGGTAGCTCAAAGAAAAGAACTTTGACCCTAAGCACCATGCTCCTTTGCTTGGTTTGGCCTGAGGCACACTGAGAAAGGTTGCTCTGCCCCAATGTTCACCCTCACCGCCTTTAAGTCCATCATCAGTAATTAGGTTCTTTGGTTCTTCCAAGCTTCTCAGCACTCATCAATAATACCTTGTATGTGTTTGGTGGCTTTACTGCTCACAAATAGCTTTAATCCCCACTAATTCATTTGGTTCTCATTCCTTATCAGGTAGGAAGGCCAGGGATCATCATGCTTATTCAAAATATAAGGAACCTGGAACTCAAAGAGTTGACCAAATTCACACAGCTGGGCAGTGGCAGAATCAAAACTAGAACGCAGGTCTCCTCTCACATACCCAATGCCAAGTCCCTTCTGCTGCTTTTCTGAGAAAGGGGAAAAGGCTGAGGGAGGAGACTCCTATCCCCATCCCTCACCTCTCACCCTCTTGGGAGGTTGGTTCTCAGACAGCCCCATTGAGGACAGGATGAGTTCGCATTCGATAGATGATGACAGCAGTAGCTGGGCACAGCAACAAGGAGGTCATGATGACAATGGTGGCCAGGATGATGAGGACAATGACCCAAATGTCCAGGATGTGCTTGGGGAGCACGACATCCATGGGGACCTGGGTGACGGCATCCATGCTGCTTCACCTGCAACACACAGGAAAGGGGCAATCAGTGCTGTGTACCCTCTGCCTACTTCCCAGGTTGAAAGGAAACCTGCTCCAGGAGTCAGAAACTTGAATCATTTACCAGCTGTGTGATCTTTAAAGTCCCTTAATTAATTGATAACAATAATGGTTTCATTTATTAAAGGTTCCCTACGAGCCAAGGTTTTCAAGTGGCACAAGAGTTTAAGCTCAACTACTAAGCTATACATTGGCAGTTCGTTAGAACCACAGAAGAAGAGCTTGGCAATCTGCTTTCATAAAGATTACAGCCAAGAAAACCTTATGGGGCAATTCTACTCTGTAACACACAGGGTTGTCATGAGTTGGGATGAACTCGATGGCAACAGGTTTGGTTTCTGGTCCTACGCACCAGGCCTTTTACTACACACTTTTGGCGTAGTCCCTAAGGCATTTGACTGCTAACCAGAAGGCTGGCAGTTCAAACCCACCAGCCACTCCTTCGAAGGAAGATTGGGTAATCTACTTCCCTAGAGATACCGCTCTGGAAACCCAAGGAGGGGTCGCTATCAACTCGACGGCAGTGACTTTGGTTTTTTGAGTTTTGTGCATAGTAATTCATTTAGTCCTCACCTCAACTACCAACTCCATGAGCTTAGGATTATTATTATCATCCTTATTTTTATTTATTTGGCCTTATCATCAATGATTTCCATTTTACAAATGAGGACTCAAAAATTAATTTGCCCAAGGAAGTGAACTCATGGCAGGACCCCAGAGCCTCCATGCTTAACCATTAAACTACCATACTAACAGTCCTATGCCCGCATCTGTAAAATGTGATATCTATTGTTTCTGGTCCTGGAGGCCTGGTGGCACACCAGTTAAGTGTGCTAAGTTGTTGGTGGCTAACTGAAAGGTAGGGATTTCAAACCCACCTACCCATTCTGTGAGGAAAAGACCTGGCAATCTGGTCCCAAGAAATCTCTGTGGGACAGTTCACAAAGATGTAATATCATCAAAAGGGTTGCAGTGCCCTCTAAAGTTAAAACCTCTAATCTAAAGAGTACCTGAAGCTAGTAGTTCCCAGGGTTGGGAAATATGTCCTCCAAAATCCCAGAGGGCCCGAGTTGGAACAAACATTCTTCTACAGTCTCTTCAAGATCTAAGATCCATAATTCCATGATTCTAAATCTGAGGGAAAATTTCCATTTCCTGTTCTTACATGATCACCAATGTTTCTATTGCCTTTGGATTCTGTTTGTGCTCTGTGCCCATTGTTGCCATCCAAAGTAAAGTACTGATCGCCATACCCAAAGTAGAACCCCCAAGATATTCATTCAAGGCTATTAATTTCTGCATTGTTTGTTACAGCAACAGACAAAGAAAAGTGTCCATTAATAGTAAAAGAGGTATATGCATATAATGGAACACCATGCAGCAATTTTCATATATTCACTCATTTATTTAACAAGTAATTACAAAGTGCTTACTACACGCCAAATATTGTTCCAAATATTTATTTATTTATTTATTAGCTAGTAAAAGTATGGTGTAGATCTGAGTAGGCTGATTTGTGGTGAACTCCAAAATATTTTAAGTAGGAAAAAAAAAGGTAAAGGATAGTGTGTATAGGACGATTTCTTTGATTCGGATTTTATAGAAGTAAGTAGATAGATGGATGAGGACATGTACATGAAATAAACAATATCTGAGCAGAATCACAAGTGTTACAATGGTTATCTTTGGGGAATTGGACAAGTAGTGGCTTTTACTTTTCATTCTGCATGCTTTTACATTGTTGGAATTTTCTAACCATGAGCATGTATTTTAGTTTTTTACACCATCTGGGTAGAGGGAAAAAAAAGCTTTTTTTTAAAATTTTACTTTATATTTCTCCATTAAAAAG